GAATTTTAAATTTTATAAATTAAATTAATGATGCTCATCGCCGATTGTCGAGCCCAAAGAATCATCCATAATATTATTAGACTTAATAATGTCAGAAGTAATACCGAATGGCATCTATTCATATTTAAATTACAACTTGTAGGTATTATGGTCGGTCTAAACTACGCTTCAATGTTTCATCACAAAGGAACAGCGCTTCCCTTTTGTGTTGAGTGTAATTAAATAAATATTGTAGGGTTTAAAGGTGTAATGGATATTATAGGTATTTGGACCAAAGAAACCAAGGTTTGTTGTGCATGCATGAGCTGGCATAGATCAACCTCGATTGCGATGATCGTCAACTGGCACAGAGTAAAATGCAGTTCAGAGCCCATCCAAACCATGCCTTCTAATTCACAGTTTGCTCTTCTCAGGATAAGTCGGGGGAGAAGCACCCAACACAAATTAAGACAACAAAACCGTGTTACCTTTTAGGTATTTGAAATTTTCTTAAATTTTTAATTTTAATTTATTTGTTATGATTCATGTTGTCGTAACCGTCTTTCGGTTGGGCCACGGAATTGGGCTTCGACTTGAAAAATGTGGATTGGAGTCGCCACCGATCATTTATTTAAAAATAAATGGGTTGATCGGATACCCTATTTCTTACCTGATCTGCGTCTTACCATAAATATGTCGGGCTCGGGAGTCGGTTACGGTCAAGGAAGGATTAGCACCCTTGAACCGCCCTTTCGGTACTACGTAATTTCCAGTTGTCTTAATTAAGAAAAATAACAAGTTAAATTAAAAGGTAAAGTTTCGATCCTAATTACTTACCCTTGATTGTTTTAAATTGCGCCCTTAAGAGAACCAAAAAACACATTAGATAAAAAGAATGAAAACGAAATAAAGAAAGTAAAATGGGAAAACAAATGAAATGATGAAAACAAAAGAAAAATAAATAAATAAAATAAACAAATAAATAAAAAAAGTAGAATCATCAAACAGAAATGAGTAAATTAGAACAGGGGGAAAAATGATGTTAACAATGCAAAGAAAAAAAAAATAAACAAATAAACAACGGGGTTAAAAGAAAAAGGTAAAATAAGTAAATAAACGAATATAACAATTATGCATGTGGACAAAATGTGTACTGAGAAATAATAAAAATAATAAATCAAAGGTGTAATATAATAAAAAATTAGAATATAAAATACATAAGATAGTAATAATGAAATATATGTATTGTAATAATGATAATATAAACAAAGGGAATAGGAAGATAAAAAACGTACAAATAGTGTATATAATAATACATAAAAATAACCAAAAAAAAATACAATTAATTATATATGCATATAGATATAAGGACTGGTTTGAAAGAGAGATCCAGTTTGGGGCCGAATTTAAAAAACGTAAAAGTCAAATTTTGGGTCAGAATGAAGGTTTTGAAAAGCAGAGGGCCAAACGGAGTTTCCCCATTCTATTTTGAAAACACGTGGATCTGGGGTGAAACCGAGTAGGCAAGCGGGTCTTAACCGACCCATGGGTCGTGCATATATGCTAACGCTTAGGGTTAATGCTTCATTTTCCCTTCTTCTCATAAAAACGTTCCCTTCTCCTTTAATATGTTCTCGCCTATTCTTCAGAAATGAAGAACAGGGCCATGGTTCTTCGTGAACCCATAAAACGCCACCCTACGCCGCCTCGCCGTCACCGTTGAACGGCACCGGCCGTCGTTCATCGGCGGCAAAACTCGTGTTATTATATTTTTTTTTTTGAAATCTCGAAAGCTTTTTGAAATTCCTTTCTAAAAACAAAGATTGTTTTTCAAAAATCGACTAGAAAAAACGTAGATCTGAATTTTTTTTTTTTTTTGAAAACGAAGGGCCTTTCGTTCCTCGGCCGAATGGTCTTGGTGGTTCAAAAACTCCACCATAATGGCATGCAAGCAGTGCAAGGGAACCGAATCGAAAAACAAAGGTAAAAGCGATACCTTTTATTTATTTCTCTTTCGAAATTTACAAGAGATTTGCTAGTTTCCTGTGTGAAAGTTACTGTGTATGGGCTCACGTGTAAACTCTCTCTGTAAATCCTCCCACCTTTTTTTTTTTTTAAACGGGTTGGATTACCCTTATTTATAGTAAAAAACCTATTTTGAGTCCTAATAGGACTCTAACATTTGTTGGTTGTGGATGAGCCTTGCGAGATTCTTGCGTCGTTGGTGGTGTTGATGGGGACGTTGGATCCGTGAAGTGCGGCTGAGGAAGACGTGATGAACCAGGGGACTTCGGGGCTTCTGGATGAGATGCAAGAAGCGACGGTGTGCTAGGGTTTTCTAGAAACCCTGATTTTTAGAACGGGTCTTGGATTACACGTGATGTTGGTTTTGTTTGTGATGGGCCTGTATACAAACATGAAAATACATAAGTATGCATATATAATATACTTAGTAACTATCATAATATTTACAACAGATAGAATTTAGTGTCTTCATGTATTGCCAACATCTTCACATAAAACTTCTATTTGATTTTGAAAGTAGACAAAATATAAAATTCAACAAAAATAATACATGTATTTGGATAAGGATGAAATAGAAATCTTCTTAAAGGTGATAATTAAATTATATATTTATCTTGAAATAACAAATTAGATTTTTATATTATTTTTTACTTGTAATTATATATATATATATATATAATAGTTGCATTAGAACTCTATCATTTGAGAGAACAAAATGTAATTTTATCATTGATTTTTTACCTTTATAACTAAAAGAAATTTAAATCTTTAATTATGTTGATTGACATGATATAATTATATTATGATTTTTTATATTATATTTGATAGTATAAATTATAATTATACAATTAAATAAAATATTTAGAAAGTCATTATTAGGGGTGATTTCGAGTTATTTGAGTTTATGAGTCATATTTTATAACTCAAACTTGATTTTAAATTTTTTCGAGTTGAATTGAGTTGTTAAAGTTTTTTTTAAATTTAATTGAAAATATTTATAATGTTATGTTACTATTTTATTTCAATTTAAACAATTTTCTATAATCATATATATATATATATATATTTCATATGCGATATACATATATCATATAAAGTTGAGGTATTCCACCCAAACTTAAAAATCAATCCATTAATTACTAAAAATTTAGAGTTATTTGAGTTATTATTTGAATTATTCCATTTCTATTTTAAAGAGAAGAAGATTTATGGTGTATAAAAAAATATGAAAAAAAAACATCAATAAAATGATACTAATGTTCATCAGCAGCAGCATTGCAACAAAAACATCATCAGTTCTATCACCATAACTCGGAAGAAGATGTTCAAACCGACAGTAGGGGTGCAACCGCAGGCAAAGAGCTCGACATCCATGATGGTGAAGGTGAGATGAGTAGAAGGTCACGAGGCAGACCTATTGGATCCACGAACAAGCCTAAGTCATCCATCATCATCACTCGAGACAGGGCCGATGATCTATACACCGATGTGATGAAGATCGACGACGTATGCGATATCGTAGATAACACCACCACGTTCGCTAGACGGCGCCAAAGAAGGGCTTGTGACATGAGTGGGACTATGATTCTATGAACGTGACTAATGTTACACTTCTGTAACTTGCCTTGGCTGGTGCAGCTGTGAGCTTACATGTGCGTTTCAGAGATTATCATTGTCGGGTTCGTTTTTGCCTCCTCTGGAACCGTTTTCGGCAACGGGTCTAACCATATACTTAACCGGTGAACAAGGCTAATTTGTAGGTGGAAGTGTTGTTGGGACGCTAACTGGTTCAGGTCATGTTGTGATTATGAAATATGAAAAAATCTTTTAGTAACGCCACTTATGAACGGCTTCCATTAGAAGAAGAAGAAGAAGAAGAACCGTCGCAACTTCCTATGCAAGACGGTGCGATCGAATCGTCATCAGATGCAGTCGGTGAATAAGAACAACAATTGTCGCCTAATGTGCCATTTTTCTATGGGCTCCAACAAAACCTTCTCAATCCTATGCAGTTACCAAATGAAACAGGAATTTTATGAGAAAATTTCTACAAATAAATTAACAAAAATTGAGTAAATTAGATTAAGGGGTTTATTTTTATTTAAAGTTAAGCATTTGATCGATCAACAAGATTTAATTTCCGGCCATGACCGTCAACTTTTTCAAGTAAGCAGTTGAGCCACATAAATTTTCATCACCCATGAACAGCGGTTAACGGCTAGTGATCTATTTGTTATAACTCGATAATATTAATGACTAATTTGTTGCTTTTAAAACTTTAATGATATTTTTTTTTTCAAGTATTAAGACTATTCATGTAGTTTACCTTTAGACAAGGTTCGAGGCCCTGTAAAAACTGTAGCTTACCTTAAATAATTATAATTTATAACGTTAAACACAACACAAACAATAAACATTAACCCATTAATTCCTCCATTTAGATTTTGTTTGCTTATCAATAATACTTTTTTCGTCAATGATTATAATATAAACAAAATCACCGCTAAAATAAAAGGTCCTGTGTAGAGATGATATAACAAATGTTATTAATGGAAGTCGAATTCCACTACTCTGCAGAATAATCATATTTCACTTTGAATGTGCCAATAATGAAATAGCTACTCCTTGGAACCAAACACCCTATTGTTTTTAAGCAATAAATCCTAATTTCCTTTGTTTTTACTCTTGCCATCCCCACATATGTTAACAAAAATAGAAAAGAAAAAAAAAGGAAAGAGACAAGAATTTCCAATAACTAAAACATCAAAGAGGTGAAATTTGAAATTCATTGTCGAAAATAATATTAAAAAAAAACTAATTAGAATGTAATAAAGGGGGGAAAGGGATGAAAATTGGGTTTGTTTGCTTACATGGTTTGAACAAAATGGAAAGCACATGAAGGCTTTGGAGTAAGACACCCTTTTTTTTTTTTTTTTTTTGCAGGTTAGGCGTAGCCCAGCAAACTGATTGCCACATTCTCTTCCCTTTTCTTATCTTCTTCTCTCTGCTGAAAGAACCAAACATTTTCACTCTCAAACAACAAAACCCCTTGTTTTATTTATTTAAGCTCGCTTCTTTTATTGTCTATGGTGGATCTCAAGCTGAGTTCGCATCGGCTTTGTAGATCTTCTCTTGAGTGGGCAGAGAACTGAAATATTACATATATATGTTATATTATATGAAAAAGAGATGGATTTTGATGAACATGAAGAGCAAGTACAAGAAATGGGTGTAACCGTTCCATTTCCACCAGGATACGACTCGCTCGGCAACTCGTCAGCTGCTGGGTCCAAGATAGGACCCGTCGGCGGCGGTGGCGAAGGTGGGGCGGCTTCGAGAAAAGTAGGGTCCTGTTTTAGGTACCGTGAGTGTCTCAAGAACCATGCGGTGAGTATCGGAGGACACGCGGTGGATGGCTGCGGCGAGTTCATTGCGGTGGGTGATGGGGGGACCCTTGACGCCTTGAAATGCGCTGCTTGTAACTGCCACAGGAACTTCCACCGTAGAGAAACTGAAAGTGAAGGCAGTGATATTTATTATCCTCACCACCATCAACAGATTCAACACCCCCAATTCTCGCCCTACTATAGAGCGCCGCCACCGGCCGGGTATCTCCGCCTGACGCAAACGCCGCAGCAAAGGCCCTTGGCCTTGCCGGCAACGTCGGGAGGTGGTGTTGCCGGTGCCTACAGTAGAGAATATGAAGATGTTTCGAATCCCAGTAGCAGTGGCGGTGGAGGTGGAGGGAGTGGGGGGTCAAAGAAGAGATTTAGAACAAAATTTACGCCTGAACAAAAAGATAAGATGCTTGATTTCGCTGAGAGGCTTGGGTGGAGGATTCAAAAGCATGATGAAGCTGCTGTGGAGCAATTTTGTGAAGAAACTGGGGTGAAAAGGCAAGTTCTTAAAGTCTGGATGCATAACAACAAGTACACTATGGGTAAGAAACCCTAATTTCCAACAACAAAAATGCTTCAAGATTGTTATTTGGGAAGTAAAAAAAAAACATCAAAGAAGCATACGATAATGGGAATTTGGTAGGTATTGAACTAGGGTTCTTGCCTTTCTTCTTCTTTTTTGTTTTTGAATTAGTCTCCGTTGTATTATCAGGGTGATCAGTGTAGGATGATGATGATGAAGTTTTCTGCTGAGTACATTGTTGCTAACTCTACTTTTCTTATTCTAAGAGTTGTTTTAGCTCATTAAATCTCATTTCTCATTAATTAATAGTAATTTATGATCTTTTCATCTCTTACATATAATTCGGGTTCTCTATGATCGAAACTTCACTTTTAATTCGTACATAGCTAAACTTACAGTGGGCAAGAAGATCAAGGAAAACGGGGGAAAAAGGGTAAGCTATGATCATAAATTCATCATCAAGGATCGATGGAGAGTATGTCCAAGTTGAACTAAAACGTGTTAGCATGCAAAGCTGGAATATTTCTCTATGTACTATAACTTATATTATTTATTGTTCTCTCAACCCATATATTGCAAACTCTTAAAGACACTTTTTTTTCCAGCTGAACAATTCCTAAACACCGTTTAGGAAAAAAGCTGACAAATGAGCTTACGGAGTTCTCAGTTTTGGTTTATTTAATCTATCATTTTATCACCTATACTAATAAGTAATTACCCATTTTCCATTAATAATTTCTCTTTCATTTTTTTCATCTTATCACTTAATTTCTTTGTTATTTATAATCTTAATTTTTCCTTGAATTCACCTCGTTTGCTTGATTCCTTCCTTTTTTTCTTCTTTCTTGGTACTTAGAAAGAAAATGAGCAGAGAACAAGTGAGGAGTGGTTATCAACGTGACAGTCTTTTCCAGTTTTATTGCAGTGTTTCAGACTTGTTCTGACCACCCAAAGGTCCCATGGATGGAACGTTAACAACACCTTTTATTATTTATGCACAATAATTACTTCTAAAAATATATTAAAAAATATGTCAAAAGAATTAAAAAATAGGAAGAGTTCGTTGAGATATATACGTACATACATCTGTGGGAGAAGAGAAGAAGGATGGAACGTTAACAACACCTTTTATTATTTATGCACAATAATTACTTCTAAAAATATATTAAAAAATATGTCAAAAGAATTAACAAAAGGAAGAGTTCGTTTGAGATATATACGTACATATACATCATTGGGAGAAGAGAAGAAGAAAGAAGAATATATATGCGGGGAAGAAACTGAACATGTTTGATGTTGGGGAAAGTCAAGTAAAGAGCAGGTGGCATCGTGGAGAGTTGGAGCTGTCGGAAATAAGAGTTTCAAAATGGGTTTTGAGTTTTGTGTGTTGGGGGATCTTTTTGGGATTGTCCCTGTTTACCAACATGTGGCTCTCTGTCTCGAAACAAAAGTAAACTGGAATAATATTTATTAATTGCACTGACATTACAGCTATTCTATATCATTTCCTCCTCTCTTCCTCTTGTGTTGTTGTTCTTCAATGTTCACCTTTCACTTCCATTCCACACCTTTACACGTAAATAAATAAATAATTGAAATACCCATTTTTTCAGTTAGTGGCTTCATCCAATAATGGTCCTCTTTTTCTTTTTTGAATGAATATGTAACTGTTACAGTACTATTGGCGAAGGACCAATTTTGCAGCTTTGGTTATTATAGGTCTTTATTTGGGACGGACGATTAGAATTGAGATTGGCTAAAAAATGAGAAAATATGGAATGCATGGCCCATGATATCAATGTATTATCATCTGCCAGAAAAATAGGTGTATGTTTCCCACTATCAGGTTGCCAGTTAAAGATGAAGACAGACAAGCTGACCTGGCCACAACATCCATTCCTCGGTAAGATTTTGGACCTACTAGTGGATCTGTCGGTTCCACCAAATTTGGGCCAATAAGCACACCTCATCAAACATACTGTTGCAAAAATTGGTGGGTCTTTCGACGCCAAGGTTTTAAAAAGCCCAGCAATCATGTAATAACAATAAACATATGATAGAATCGAACTCTTTTCACTTATAAAAAAAAAAATAGTACAAATAATCAAATTCATGGTAGCAAACTATTTAACAAGCTGATATCTTACAGACTCTCGAACATATTCACCAACAATTTATGTTCGACAATCAAAGGAGTCACTTCACAGTGACACTCAAAATAAATTCAATATAGACATGTTTATAAACATGCTATATCTCAATTATTACAATTATGATCAATGTATTTTATCTACATCAATCTACTAATGCAGATCACCTTTTTTGGGACATAGTGTAGAGTTCGATAACATCACATCAAGAACTAACCAACAATTTATGTTCGACAATCAAAGGAGTCACTTCACAGTGACACTCAAAATAAATTCAATATAGAACATGTTTATAAACATGCTATATCTCAATTATTACAATTATGACTCAATGTATTTTATCTACATCAATCTACTAATGCAGATCACCTTTTTTGGGACATAGTGTAGAGTTCGATAACATCACATCAAGAACTACGAGGTTGCAATGCACCTTGAAGATTCTTAACAGCACTGTCGTAGTGTACAAACCCCATGAACCAGAATTCATGGTTGTCGACTGACATAATCTGTACGTATTTCTCGGCAGGGTTGGCTTTGCTAGCCGATGGATTCACTGCCCTCAGCTGATGTAATGGAATAACCACCTACATGAACGTATGTGGACAGGACACAAAATCACATACTAACTAGTAAAACAGTTTAAAGAAAGGGGAAAAAAGAAGGTTTATATTCTTATCCTAATATGTGGAACATGAACTAATTTGGCAAAACAACTTGGTTTTGGATAGCATTGAATCATATGAGCAATTAAAATTAGTAAAAGATGAGGATACCCTATTGACAAATGTCCCACCCAGATTCATCTCATATACGATATTCTGCATTCAAAATGCCAATTAAGGTCCCTACTCCACTGCCACTAGTGTTCATCAACAAATCTTTACTTGAATTAAACAAAACTTCAGATGCAAAAGTATCAACTAAAAATTTGTGCGACAAGGGAGAAGTCGAGCAAACAAGATGACCACGGGATGTTGCAAATAACTGGGATAAGTCAAGTATAACGCAGATGAAAAAATAATCTTGGTTATCTAAGAAGAGTTTTCAGATAACAAAGCATCCCGGATTGTCAACTTCAAGTGATTCACTAATTCACATAGAATCATCAAGTTTGTAGCATTAAAATATTTTTTGAAACATGTAAACCAAGAAAAGAATGAAATGATAATAATAATTCATATCTTTGACATGATATGAAACTGCCAAAATCTAACAATTTTCTATCACAGCATCAAAAAGCAGCATTAACTGAACTCCACCCTAGCCCTTAGTTGCTTACGCAAAAATTCGAACCAGAACAGAAACGAGAGCCTGTTTACCTTATAATAGCTGTATTGAGTCTGGTCACCAACTTGATAAGCCAGAGGATCGTCGCTACAAAAAGCAAGCTTTTCAGTTGACAGATAAAAAACTCCAACAACAGGACCAGCCGAGGTGGACAAGTAGCAGGCATATGTCTTCAGAAGCTTTTCCTCGGGAACAGTCTCAAATGTTGTCCGGAAGATCTTCTCATAACCACCATCCGCAATAACTTTGGTAGTCTGAGCAATTTTTCCTACAGCAGCGTCAGCAAAACTCGGCCCAGTTTTCACTGCAACAATAAAAACAACAAACTTAAGCCAATCATTGTACTCATTACTGTTCACTCACTTGACAATATGTAAGGAAAACAGTACAGAAATAGAAGGGGAGAAAGGGTAATGATCAAAAGATAGAAATAATTACAGTGTTGCCACATATTCTCAGCTATCTCTTTCGCCTTCTTAGTATCGTTCGCCGCTTTCTTTCCCCATTTCCCCAACACGTCTTTCACTGATTCCATCTTATCTGCTCGTAGAAAAAGTAAAGCGGTTAAATTTAAATAGAATTCAAACTATTTTCAAAATTCCAATTTTATATAAAAGTGAAGCAAGTGGGTTACTCTTGACGGAAGATGATTGAACTGGCGCCGGAGAAACGTAAGGATTCGACTCGGCAGGCATGGTGGTGGCAGCACCGTTAGAGATCAGTGCCGGCTGTGGACTGGAATCCGATTGGGAACTCATTGAAACGCTGGTCCAATTTTCCGGCGGAGGAGCGACGTCGTTCGGATCTAATTTCGGGTAGGGAGCGTAATCAGAAGAGACAGTTGGCGGTTGGGTTGACTCCGAGGATGAAGTTGACTGTGTGGCTTCCGGAATTTTCTCATGAACGGTCGGGGGTTGGCTCATGATTTCTTTGTGTTCCGATCAGATAAAGGAAAAGAAAAAAAAACGAAAATTGAATTGCTAAACTACGGAAAAAGCCATTATCTGGAGAGGGATCGAAATTCAAAAATCAAAAGTTCGTGAGGAAGATGATCTTTCAATTGCTGTCGGTCGTCTTCGTTCTTTATGACCCAAGTTTGAACTTTGTAAACCTGGCGAACAGCTGGCACGTGGTTACGCCACATGCTCCTCCATAACGCAACTTATATATAGGCTACATTATCTCTCTACTCATTCAATTTCAACAAATTTTTATTTTAATTATAAAATATTAAATTTAAATACTAACGTTTCAAAATTATTTTTTATGTAATCCTCCGTTAACCCTTTTAATGTCACGATCACATGGCATTTTTCTTTTAAAAAGTTATGCATAAATCCCTGTAACTTCCCTTTCTAATGTGTCAAATCTAGTTTTTATTTAATTTCTTTTTATATTTTTTTAAAAATAACTAATTTTATTCAAAATGCAGAATATCTTTAATTATAATAAAAAATTACAATCATAATCGTAAACTAAGTACATAATTAAAAAAAATTCTTATAATTATTGAAACAAAACTAGTAACTTAATATCACATATGAACCATACAAGAAAAAATTAAATCTAGCCAAAAAACTCGAACAAAGATAGATACAAACAGATTTAATTGAATAGGCAAACGAACAAAAAAAGATGATCACGTTATTGAAAGACCACCGGCAAACCGCAAATCATACTCGAGCGGTATGAAAAGCTATCCACGAACGCAAATTGGGTATCCAAATCTAATCGGATGGTCCAAAACAGGAAATATCACAAGATATCAAATAAGCGTCATCTTGATCAATCGTGACGATGTCAAATCAACCCTTCAAAAAAATAAATAAAAATAGCCAAAGAACCGAAAAATGATAAAAAAAACATAAGAAAGCATGCTATAAAGGTAAATAAAAAAGTGTAATACAAATCAGCATATAGCGCGGGGCAGGGAACGCGCTTTACTGCTACAGGTGTTAGATCAAAAAATATAATTTGACCGGTGTTAGATCGATAAATATACCGATCACCGATGATTTTTCGAGAAAAACACCATTTTTATATCTCAATAATTAGAAGGTGGGGAAAAATAAAAATAATATTATCATAATTTTACAATGATTGAATGATACAATATACCTATTAAAATAGCTTTTTTAATACTTATTGTTAAAGTTTATAAATTTTTTAAAAAATATTTTTTTTCGAAATACTTAATTACTAGTGTAATAAATTTTTTTTTTGAAAAAACATTCTCATGTTTGATTTGAAAATAAAACAAGTTTGAAATTATTTCATCTTTTAAATTGTGTTATTTTTTAATTTCATAATTGAATAAATTATATAATAATTTAAGGTAAACATTTTGGGAGTGTTATTTTTTAATGTTGTTTAAACCAATTCATTTTAATATCAAAAAATTATAAAACAATTCATGTAACTTTGATGATATTGTATTTTTCTTTAAAAAGTAAGCTAAAATTGTTCAAAATTAAAATATTTTTAATACTGCTTAATTGTTGATGTTTTCCATCGTTATTCAGCTTATAAACGGTGGATAATTCTTTACATTTGAGATTATTTTAAGGTAAACATTTGCATTGAAATGTTATTGTATTGTTTTCATATATCTTGTTTCTAGTTTTGCGAGATGGATAATACTATTAAAGTTTGCTCTAATTTCTAAGTGTACGAATGATTGAAAAGATCGTACTGATTTTAAGTGACATTTGTCAATTATAGCTATTACACACATCGATATATTTATAAATTGTTCATATTAGTGTAACACCTCATTTTGCAATGATATATTTTCCAACATAGACTATTGAATTTAGAAAGCTACAACAATTAGATAAAATGACTTAAAGGTGTTTATTCTTGGTTTTTTTTTTTTGAGTTAGTTTACTTAAAATGTTTAATTAAATATTTAGATGACATTTTTTAGTATGACTAATGTTTTATAATATTGTTTTAGAATTCACACATATAATTTTGTAATTATAATTTATAATATTAAATAAAAAATAAAAATATAATTAAATTCTGTATATTTGTGTGTATATATATATATATAATTAATTTATTTCAACCAAATTTGTCTTACTCGATTAAAAAATATTGTTAAATAAAATATAACAATAATATTTTATACAATTATAAATGTGACGTCAAAATACATCATTAGATAGTGAAAAAGGTGAGCCCAAAGTCTATAGCATAAAATATTAAATGGCATTGGAGTAAAGGACACGCCCATAATCAAGAGTCTGTTTGCCTTTGGGCCTTCCCTTGTAAAGAAGCATGGAATATTTCTGACTGTTTTGATTTTATAGGTCTATAAAAATGAAAATAATTGAAAAATTATTCCATAATTTTTAAATAATTTTAATATCAGGGTAAAGTATTTAAATAATTTTAATATCAGGGTAAAGTATACCTATAATAACTAATAAGATTATCTTTTCATCACCCCATTTTAAAAAAAATCATATTTCCCTCTAATAATCGTTAACTTCGAATGAGAGAATGAATTCACCCTCTAATAATCTATTTAATTTCACTGCCTATTGCACACATAAAGCACGTTAATGTTACTGCTACTGATAAGGATATCTTTGTTTGCTGCAGATTGCATATATGAATTGCCCAGATTTTAATGATGTCATTTTAGTTATATTAGTTTTGAATTTTGTTTGATTTTAAAGAAAATACGGTGATAATGTTATATACTTAATTTGAGGGATTTGTTAATGATTTATTGAACATGAAAGAGAGATTTGCTTATTTGTTTAGGGACCAAACATTAAAAATATGAAAAAACTTAGGGCATCATTTGTAATTATATATTAAAATATATAAATGTCAAAGTTTTTTTTAAATAGTTTGACATAATTACATGATAATATACGTTTATAATCTTTATTAATCATTTGTAATGTACACACCTTGAATCAAATTCAGAACATTAAGAAATAACAATATTTCTTTTAACTATTGATGTCACTCAATGAGTTTACTGATAAAAATATAATACTTTAAAATTAATTGACAAAAACTTAATTTTACTAATAATCCAACGATACGTGGGTGTAATTTACCCTTATTATAGTTCGATATTGCCTTATTTTTTTGGGTAAACTATACCAGTAACTATCTAAATATAGCTTCTTTTCATTTTGATCACTATTTTTAAATTTTTGTCAATCAGGTCACTTAACTATTTAAATGCATTCAATCATGCCATTTGTTGTTAACAAGTAACGAAAGTGTTGACGTGACAATTAATAAAATTGATATAATTACACATTTGACCCTCAATATTTATACATTCTTTTATTTTTATGATAATTTTAATTTAATAGATTTAACTTCCAATTAGATGGTGAAATGTGTCACTAGCATATTGAAAGATATATTATTAATTTTAATTATTTAATTTATTTCATATCCAATCAAGTTGTGACATGTGTCACCACCTTATTTGATACAAAATGTTGAAAATTTACAAGTTGCTATTAGGTGGAATCTAACCAACACCCTACACCTCCTTTTAGGAGCATGCCAAAACCGTTAGTCTGACTCCCTTGATTATAAATAAATTACAACATCTTATTATAAATGATGGCATAGAAAAATAGGAAACTAACATGATTTTAAATGGATTCAAACTTAGGATTTTAAGAGAGAATGCAAGTATCTTAATCATTAAACTAGGTCATATGTTCAATTAAAATTTACAATTATATATGTATATATAAATCATTAAATTGAGTTTCTTAAAAGAAATAAAAATTATATTTTTATATTTTTAAAATATCTTTATTTTTTATAAAAAATTTATATAATCATAAAATTATTTTTTAATATATTTAATAATTTTAGTTTGATTTAACAATTATAATATATATATTATTAATTATATTTAAAAAATAAATTATACTTTGTTTATATAAATAATATTTTTTTTAAAAAATTAAAATATAATTAAAATAATATTTAATGTAATAATAAATTTAATATGAATAAAAATAAATTTAATATTTTTAAAATTAAAAATTAATTTTATTGAAACTTGAATTCACATTTTAAATTATATTTATTTTTTATATAACCAAATTTTTTTTTTATTTTTAAAATAATTAATAATATTTAAATATATATATATATTATATAATTATTAAATAAAATTAAAAATATTAATTATATTAAAAATAATTTAATGATTATGTATAAAATATTATATAAAAAATAAAGATAGATTTTTTTTAGCAAAACTCAATATATAAAATTTGAATCCATTTAAAATCATGTTAGTTCCCTATTTTTCTCTACTATTGATTATAACATATTATATATAAGATGTTGTAGTCTAATTAAGGGACTCAACCCAATAGTTTTGGCATGCTCCTAAAGGATCTGTAGGGTTGGTTTGATTCCCCTAAGAGCAAGTTGAATTTTTTTTGACATTTTGTATCAAATAATGTGGTGACACGTGTCACCACCTAATTGGAAATAATTAAATTAAATAATTAAAATTAATAACATATCTTCCAATATGGTAGTGACACATGTCACCATCTAATTGGAAGTTAAATCTATTAAATTAAAATTATAACCAAACTAAAAGAATGTATAAATATTGAGGATCAAATGTGTAATTATATTAATTTTATTAACTGTTACATCAGCATTTTAGTTAAATGTTAATGACAAGTAGCCTGATTGAATGCATTTAAATAGTTGGGTGACCTAATTGACAAAAATTCAAAAATGATGGTCAAAATAAATAAAGACTATAGTTAAGTGTTCACTGGTATAATTTATCTTATTTTCTTTGTTTTGCGAAAAAGAAGCCATGATAAAAAAAATGGAAGAATGTTGCAACATTTATAATTAAATTAAAATGTCGAAATTAACCAAAACAATTATAGTGAAAACCCCATTTTTTTAATTAATCATTGATAATTTATTGATCGACTAATTCAGATCGGGTACTGCAGAGGCGAGGGCGACCATCCCAACCTAGTTTGTTCCATTCGCAAACGTCAGAATTCGA